ACTTCTTCCATCATCAGATGTCCATTATTTACATATTAATATCTCTGTCACCAAACTCAAATGTATGTCAAATCAGTTGTCAGATTGTCGTCATTTCACGAAATTTAAATTTTTGAATATAATTTAGTTTAAACTCAACTTTTAATGGAAGAACAATGAGCTGTTGTACAAAGTAACTTTATTTATATTGCAAAACTTTATATCCAATATACAACATCATTGCGTCATTTCACAGTTCTGCGCAAACTCATAAAAGTAAGTAATGATATCACTATTATTATAGTCATTCGCAATGGTTGTCATCCTTTCGTCCGCGATACTGTCCTTTTGGAGTCATAAAATGTAAAATTAAAACGTATCATAAATTTCATTAGTTTGACAGAAGTTCAACATTGTGCTTTCATATAACTTGCAGGGTTAGATTGTACAGTTGATCGAGATGACCACAGTCCTATTATATAGAATCAAGCGCGTTGCACGTTGGTAACGACTATCGATCGGCGTTCAAACGTCTCGCGCGGAAACGGCCTGCGCTGAATCGTCCAACTCCTAACTTAATGTGGTACTTCGTCCTAATCGTGTGGGCTTCCTGATTATTAAGCACTCCTGCCACAACGATACTTTGACTCTGCGTAAGAGCATTAAGCAATGCCGACTATTCCTGTTGTGTTCGTTTACCAGTGTATTTGTCTTTAAGGATGCATTCGATTCATTAAATCGTACTGCGATGTGGAGAATTTTGAAATGCAATAGAATACGTGCACAGACCGTTTCTGTTTTATGACACATCTATGCCAGAACCATATCTCTAGTCAAAGTGGAAGCAGAGCTATGTCACCTATTAATTGTGGAGGTAGCCAAGGAATTGTGCCTTCGTATTTGCTATTCAGGATTGTTCTCGACTTTCTTCTCTGAAACAGTGCTGACCATGGCAAAGAAGAATATCTCTTTCTAGAGGATAGGCATAGTTCGAGATATCCGACTGAATTTCTTGCTCACTTGAAGTACCTGGATGATATTGTCCTTGTGAATAGTACGGGAATCGGGCTCTGTAGCTTGATGGCTTC